CCATACATTGTTTTGATAATATATTACTTTTCCATTAAACATGAATTTTACTGTTACTGATGATGTTTAAGGCAGAACACGATTGTATTTGCCAGGACTGGGTTTCTTGTCATGGCTCAACTCAGTCTTTCAATTTCTTTGGAGAATTTTATATGTGAATCCAAATAGGAGTCTCATCTAGCTCTTCTCTGTATCAGCTGGAGTTCTAAATAATTCATGGAAAGTCAGAGTGCAAAACACATTTGCATTCACTTGGCTGGTTGTCAATATGAGAACCATCCTCTTCCTTCTAAGAAAGCTCATGCAGAAATCAGGGCTGAAAGACAGACGTGGCAGTATAAGGCAGCTCACAGCACAAAAGATCCTGTGCTGATTTTCAGGAAGATTATGTGTTGAGGAGAAAAGTTATCCCTAATTTTCTCTTTCACATGGTTATTTATTATCTGTTCAGTGCTGTGGAACACCTTACTCTGCTCTCCACTGGCGAGCCCCTGTTCTCTGGCACTTCCCTCTTTCTAGCTGAACACTAGTTTTCTCATTTTTACAATTTGACTCTTATCTACAACATCTGGATTTTGTGGCTGTGTCTACAAACTAACTGGTAACTAGTTTGCAGCTGGACAGAAAACTGCCTCAGCTAAAATCATCACTGCAAGACAACATGTTATTAGAAGGTTCTGTGAGACAGGTTCCCCAGTACAAATCTATGCTTGTATAGCATGGAGTGATGCTTCCATAATATACATGAACCAGACAGAAAATTGTCACACATTGCTCTTTTCTTCTTAAAGGATGCCTACCAGCTCAACTTTTGCTGTGGTCAGTCACCATTTCCATCATAAAGTTCTACTTTGTCACACTTAAAAAATATGGCAATAAAAGATCTTGCCAAGACTAAACTTGGCATACGAGTTCTGTCCAGAAGTAACCTCAACTAATCTTTGTCAGCTAGCAAGTGAAGTGACTTAGTCATTTTTAAATCACTTGAAAATGAAAGCTGTAGAGGTTCTGGTTCTCATCATTTTCTTGCAGTCACTGCTCTGCACTTTCAGCATCCCTTAAATGCCCAGCTGGAACAGTTTGTAAGGACTCCTGGGGAACCTGACTGTCCTGAGGAGCTTTTGTGTCATGGGTGGGATGGCATATGCTGCTCCATGGCAGACTTCAGGTTCCAGAGTCTGAAAGGAGATGTTAGAGCTGATTTCTATGTGCTGTGCTGCTTGCAGCCTGGGATTGAAGGTAACAAACCTGGGTCTTTCCCATTTGCACCACTGGAGATACTGGGTGGAGGAACAGGGATCTTACAGCTCTGACAAGCACATCTCAGACACATCATGGAATCACTGGGAATACTTCCAGGCAACCATACAGAAGTATCTGTATTCATCACTCTTATTTCATTACCTACTTATGGAGAATTAGATTTGTAGAAATGAGTCCTGCAAAGTGCTCTGCAACTCTGTATTTTAACAGGACAGTCTACTACAATATTTACTCAGTAATTTTTTTTGAAAGCTAATGTAGCAGAGGAATTCTTCAAAAGTGGCTTTTCTCGTCACTTAAATCTAAGTTCTGTCTGTTCTCTGTACCATTAGAAATATGTTGTCTGCAACTGAGAGGCTCTCACTTGCATCTGAACCCCCAAGTTCCACCAGTGCACCCTGAGCTCAAAGAGGTCTTTGCTAATGGATTGTCCTGTGGGATCTGATCTTCATCCATATTTGAAGTGATTTATTTTGACATCTGCAGATTTTCAAGAACAAAGAGGGAAAATGAATTATCACTCTGAATATCTGCCCCATTCTGATTAATCATGCACATGACGCACATAAAGACTTCTCGAGAGCTCAGTTTTTTGCCATCATCACGGCTCAGCTGTTCTTTTCTAGACCATTTCTAACCATTCATACACTTCACAGTTCAGCTTTCATGTTGCTACAATGTGTTAGCAATTAATGCACAAAAAACAAGCAGACAATTGTTCCATTTCCAGGGAATAAAATCTCCAAAGACACAAAATTAAATATAAACTACCCATCCTTCCCCATATCCTAAGATTTCAAGGAAAAGCAAGTAACTAACTCCCCAAAGACATCACGTGGTTAAGGCCATGGTTAACAGACACTTCAATATGACATACATTTTACAGCTCCTGAAGTCCTGTCTCCTCCTAACCATTCACTTCTTGCTTCTCCTTGGTGTTAGTACTCACAAGTATTTCAGAAACCCCATCATCAGGTGGGCCACAGAGTTGTCTCTACCAAAACCAAGGGGTTTTAGTTTAGTTTAGCTTGCAGCAGGTCAAGCCCTTGATATGACTCATATGTAAGTACCACAGAAATGCCAAAGAAGGAGAGGGTGAAATGAGGTGAGGATTGCATAAGCTGTGTGACTGCCAAAGAAATGCTCATGTGAGCACAGCCCCAGTCCCAGCCTTATTCCTGGGGGCAGCAATGTGAGCAGGAGCCTGCTTCCTCCACTGGCTTCTTCTCTGTCCCTCCCCATTGGCAGTGGCAGCCTGCCAAGTTCTCAGGGTCTGGAGCAGCATCTCCGAGTTAGCAGGACTGCTAAGAGGTGCTGGGAAAATCCCAGCAATACCACACTAATGATCAGCACTTGTAACAAGACATTTACAACCAAAGGACACCACTGGGATCTGCTGCAGGGCAAGTGAAGTTTCTCCTCAGTCAAAATGCTGTCACTGCTCAAGGGCTGAAGGGGGAGGTTATAGCATTGAGAAAATGGACCCTGAGAAAATGAGGAAGAGAGCAAAATTGAAAATCATAACATATTCTTACACTTTCACTTGAAAATCTTTTCCCTAAGCAGATCCTGTGCTCAACAGCCAGAGTCACTACAAGATGAGGATGTTCCTACTGCCTGAAGCAAACTTCACTCAGAGCAAAAAAACATTCCAGATGCAACAGACTGGACTGTGATTTCCATAACTTTCAAACCCTACATTGCCTTTTGTTTTGCATGAAACATGCCTTTGGAAAGCCAAGGAAAACTTGGTTAAAAAACACCATTAGAGGACACCATAATTAAAGGAAATGCATTTGCCTCCTTGACATCTTGTAAAATGTCACTAAGAAACACAATATTTCAGGTCACTGAAAGATTTCATTCAGTACTTGTTGCAAAGCTGCTGCTCTTAATATGGCCCATGTTACAGCAAGGGAAGTGTACGTGGCTGAATGGACTCTAGAATCACCTTTCTCCTAGAAAGGTATCTCAAAGGAGCAAGAGTGATGGTGCTAAAGTCCTGCTGCTTATAAACAAATTGAGGCTGGACTGACAGTCCTTATAGAAGACTGCTTCTCTCATTTAACAGTACCTTGTGGAGTGGAGAAAATACAAGTTTAAAATACTAAATCTAAAACTTCCTGGTTATCTATACGCTCCAAAAGCTGACAGAACTACTTGTATACAAAAATACTGTACTTTACCAGCCACACCTTTAAAACAGAAGTACTCAAAAAGCTGAGCAAGCAACCCTGCTTTCCTCATGCTGGGAAAATGTTCAGCTGTCCACGTACACCAGATTTACAGGCCTTCTGTGTCAATCTGACAACCCCAAAAGATTCAGGCAGGGAAAAGATTTAGCTCTATAAATACTATTAAACTTCTCTTTCCACTGGCTGCAGATCAATTCAGTGCAGAAGAAAAGCCCATAGCTAAGGCTGGAAAAAATATAGAGTTGGGTTTTCAGAAATGCTCTGCATTTGTCTAGTCCAGCTCTAGTTTAAACAGGTTAAGTCCCATAACTGAGCACTTTTGGAAGTCAAAACACGACTGCTCACTAAGGCTCTGGAGTAATTGCTTCTTGGTCAAGATGGTATGTATGTTAAAATGTATCAGAGGCTGCATAATAAAAACAGAGGCTGTGCTCTTTTGCAAATCTCCTGGTATGAAACTCAGCTGGTTTTGCCCTGCACAGGTTCCCCTAACTGTTCACTTGGTTTCTATCCATCTGGAGTTTCACCACAGAATTTTGCTTTGAGTTTCCCATTTGAATACATGAAAGCTCTGCCAAAACCACATCACATTCAAGCCACAGGAAATCATGAATTTGGCACTGTTTTGACATGGAAGCTGTAAACAGTGTGCAGGTTCACTCAAAACTGGATTGCTGTCCTTTGAGTTATGAAACACAACAAAACTTCCAACAAACCAGGTCAGAAATCTTAACTACTAAAGCAAAGAGAAATTATGAGACTTCTGCAAGGATCAGGGTTTTTTTTTGAATATTATCACCTACATTTTTTACTTCAGCTAGAAACCTAATATGTGAAGAATAAAAAGAAAAGTTAAGTTTCCTCCTTTCCAAGTTTGAGTTACAGCAGGATTTAGCTAATTCTCACAGCTCTAACATATACATATACTATTAAAGACAAGGTAGTTTCCTATTGGCAGCTTTGAGCATGAATAACTAAAAGTCAGAGCTGTAGATATAAATATGGTTTAGTTTTATGTGCAATATGATAGGTAATCAACTTGCAGGTAACTTACACTACTGCACGGAGCCTCATGATTAAAATCTAGTATATTTTCAGTTGCCAAACACTGGATTTTTTCCTCTCAAGATTCCAATTAGCAAACCACAAGGAACTTGTATGAAAACAGAAAAGTCTAAAGTATGATTTTTGACTTCAAATTAAATGCTGCCCTAAAGAAACACAACTTGTAAAGAAGTCACAAGTTCATTGGGGATGAAATGCAAACAATCTAGATTCCAGACCAAGCCCGAGAACAACCAGATTCCAAACCAGAGTTTGAATGCAGAACTACATGAAGGTGGTTTGACTGAAGTCAATGAATAGTAAGCAAAACGCAGTCACCCAAAAGAAGATTTATATTACTGTATTGCCTGCAAGAAAACACAGTTTAATCCAGCTGAGTTTCACTTTAACCAGATTTTTACACCTGGCACTCTGAATGTCAGGAAAAGCTCTCCAGGGACCCTGAACACACAGAAGCATACATCAGCCATATCTGACCTGTCATGGAGTTCTCAGATGTGCACAGTTGCTCTCGCAGCTTTTCAACATCGTCTGGATGAACCTGCTCGTACAAAGTGCTGCCAAACCACTCCGACTGAGGCTGGTTCAGCACAGGAGTCACAGAGTCTGACACGTAGATCACTCTCCCCGTCTCAGCTGCAACTACAAACAGGAACCCATCTGCAGCCTCCAGGATAAGGTGTTTCAGTTCCTTCCAAAGAAAGGATTTGATTAGAATGCCAGCGAGGAAAGGGAATTAAATATAACATCTCTCACTGTCAGAGAATATTGTTCTCTTGTGATCTTAGTAGCTGATCAAAACCAAGACAGAAACTTTCACTGATGCAACAATACAACCAAACTTGCAGCAAGGTATAAATTGCCCATCTCAATAACAAACATTTCATCTTCTGTTATTGCCCTTCATCTGCTGATCTCCATGCACTTAAGGAAAATAAACAACTAATACCCACTGTATAATCTGTGATAGGGATCTAACATTAAAAAATAAAAAGGTATTTCAGAGTACAAACAGAGGAAAGGAACAGCTCTAACTCATGGCAAACTCATCCCTTAATTAAAAGCTCTGAATAATTTAACTGAAAAGGAAGCAATAAGATTTTCTAGTTTGGTTCTCCTTGGCCCTGCTCAGAAAGAACTCTGTTTGTAAATTAAACAGTCACCAGACAAAAGGCAGAAAGTGTAATGGGAATGAGGAAAGAATCCCCAGCCTCTTCTTCTAGTAGGGGCCCTAAGCCACTACACAAGAAGGTTCTGTTGCTTTTTGACTTCTTTTTCCAGCCTGTGAGTATGAAGCCTCAGCATCACGCAGAAATATTCCCTTTCCTTAACAGAGTTCAAAAACCTCTCATGGCAAAGGATGATAAATCACCACTCCAGCTCCTGGAAAAGAAGCTTGAACAGCCTTTGGTGGCTCCAGTGACCACCAGAACTTGGTAAGATACTGCACCTGGAACGCAAACACAGAGCTCTGGACAAGCTGAGTCCCATTCAAGGTGGGACAGCTCAGCAGGGTTAGTGTCTGAATGGTAGATATTAGCTGATAAGGTGAGGATAAAAATCTGGCGAATACTAAGAAATGGGTAACTCATCTCAAGAAACTCAGACTGTCAACTTCTGCTGCTTTGTTTTAGAGAAAGAGCATTGATCCTGAACTACTGACTAAACAAAAAACCTCATAGCACAGCTGGTCACACTATACTTAGGATAGTATAATCAGTTTTGCCCATTATTAAAAATGATAAAAGCAAATTCTGTAATTCTACAAGATTTAAAAAAAGAAAAAATTGCAGTGAGAAGTAACTAGGATGTGCCACCAGCAGAACGGCACAGTCCCTCCAGAAACACACTCCAGGAGAGCAGGAATAAGCAGTCGTGAGCACTGAGGGGTCAGCAGCAGCTGCTGTTTATCTAAGAGAAAGAAGTATTGCCTCCAGCCATAACTTCCATGTGTAAGTGCTTAAATCACTTCAGACCACAAAAATGAATAGTACACCCATAGGATTTTGAAAACAATGGAGGTGGTAGGAATTTTCAATGTGCTCAGTAAATAGTTTTCCTTCAAGCACTGGGCGCATCTTCCTTCTTCCATCAAAAATGTGACCAAGAAGCACCTCCAGTACAGGTGGGATTAATCTCTGCCCAGTTCAGCTGCTGGGAACTCCAGCATCAAGACTAAATGATGTTTTTAACCTTCCTCTAATCCCCTGAGAAAGAGGCAGGTCTTTCCAGACTAATTTTTACTTTGTTTAGAGAATCTCCATTAGTATGGGAAGAACCCAGATTTGGAGGTGAAAATTCCTTTCTTTGAGGCAGTGAGTGACTTGTTTTTCAGAGGGACAGATCTCAATGGTAAGAATGCCAATTTGCTTCTCCAAAAAGAAGCATCTATCACAGTGTTAAGATCAAGTCCAAGCAGTCACAAAAAACCATCTGTATTCACACCTTGGGTATGTAACTGGTACCAGCTGCTACACTACAGTGTAGAATCAGGCTGAGTCTCTACTCCTCTCAGCATTTCCTCACACCTTTTGAGACCAAAAAACCAGGGAGAACCAACATTTTTTTGTAAATTCTACCTGTTCTGTAAGAAAGGAAGGCTTGTAAGCTCCATCAGTAGATTTGTTTCCAGTGCCCCTCATGGATTTCATGTGGGAAACAGCCATGCGAAGGATGGTCAGCTTGTCGGGCTTACGAGCCAGGGCGCTGCACGTGGGCACCATGTCCGACAGCTCGGTGATGTACTGGGTCATCTTATTTCTCCTGCGCCTCTCGATCTCACTGTGGTTCTCCCTGAGCATTTAAAGAAACACCAAAGCAACAGGAAAGAGATGTGAGCAGTGTAAGAATCTGAATTGGAGGTAATGAATCATAATGCTTCACGCTTGTTTTGCTGTTTGCACCCCAGGAGAGCAAAGTGCTTTACAAAGCCAACCACTGTTATCCCTCCATTTACAGACAGAAAATCCAGGCCACAGACAGATAAATATGATTTGCCTATAGCTGTGAAAAGAACCTCTATTTCTGTTTATTGGCTTGTGGCCTTAATCTCTTAACCAGTTTAATCTCCTTTGGTTTAAGAATGAAAAAAAAGTAGAAATATGTGAGGCGCTAACATCTGCCAACTCCAGTCAAACTCCCAGATTTGCTGTGATGCCTCTCTCAGCTTCTCATAGAAGGTGTCCTTTAGAGGAAACCTCTCACTAACAACTGGACCAGGTCAGCAGGAAACATCAGCACTGACTTATGAAAAAAACCCACTCAGTGACAACACAGATGCCAAACAATGCTGTTTGGAACAACCCACATCCCTGCAGGGAGTCACGACATCTCTGCAGGATCAGACTGCAGCACTGGGACCATATATGGGATAACAGTACATACCAAACAAAAAATCCCAATAAATAAATAAGTACAAAAGACAGCAAGTAAACATCTGGCTTGTCAGACATAGACTGGAATTTATGTTCAGGGACAATTTAGCACAGCGGAAGCAACAATGACAGTACTTGATGCTGCCCCAACTAGGGCTAGGCTGAAATGCTCTTATCCTTTAGAGGAATTATATGACTGAGGTGGTGAGTCAAATTTGAGAAATCCCAAAATGGACACCCACCAGAATCTTTCAGAAATAAACATCTCAGAGTTCAGTTTTCCCATTCTGGAAATCACCATTGTTTAATCAGCATTAAGGAGTCACATCAATATATATATCTGAAATGGTCCAAATGGACCTAGAATGCTTCAGTGCCCAGCACTTATTCTTATACTGTACCTGTCAGGTGGCAGCTAAATACAAGTACACGACTGGTAGATGATGCTTCAGTTGTCAAAGCAGCATCTTCCACTGATTTCAATGAGCTGTGCATGGCATTGTCTTGTGGGATCGCTGGCTGATCCAACAAGATGTGAGAGGTGATCACTTGGAGACTCCACCAGCATTGACTGATGTGATAACACAACATTAAAAGAAACTGCAACATTCTTTGGAGCTGACTGCTATGAAGACCAACCATGAAAGCAGAAGCTAGGCTTGGCACACATTTTGGACACTTTTAGGAATTAAGCCTTTTCTTAAAATGCAGGAAAGAATTGTATGCTGCTTCCTGAAACAGAGTAATGCAAGGGCTTGCCCTGCTTTGGGTATCCTGCCCCTGCACATACAGGTGTTACATGCACGAGGCACAGTCTGCAGAAACAACACTTGTTAGGACTACATGCAGAGTTATTATTCCTGTGCTTGCTGTGTGATATGCAGAAAATCCAGCTATGACAGCCCATGGCTGCCCAGTAAATTACAGCCAAGCCTTGCCTGAGGTCACTGTCCAGGACACTGTAAGAGTGAACCTTTCATTTCACCTGGCTGCGGGCAGCCTCGTGTGGGTCTGCACGGATGTAGGAGGGAACAGGGGGAGCCGGATCACACACAGCTGTGTGACAGGACACATGTACACACAGCACACGTGTGCACATGCCAGCTGGGACATGCAGGTAAATATGGACACGGGGAAGAGAAAAGCATTTTTACATGATGAAAGCTTGCTCTAAGTTCAGCATTTTCACAGAAGCAGTGGTTAAGGAAAAAAGAGAGAGAGACAAAGAACAGACAGATTCAACATATATTTCACACTTGCAAATACATAATACATTGTCTACCACTCAAGAGTTTTAGTACTTCTGGACATTGAAAACAACCCTTACAGAGACTAAACAAAGACTGTAAAACTTCCTGAGAGAAAAGGGGTACTGAATAGTCCATTTCATTTATGATCTTAAAAGCTAGAAATTAACAGCATGTTAATCTACTGGCTGCAGAAATGTTCAAGCAGACAATACCCCAAAAGCTTCCTGAAACTAGTTCAAATTTAGATCTTTAAAAGAAAAAGAGGGCCTGTGCTCCTCTTTCAAAGTATGTGTCCTAGGAACCTTGGCATCCACAAACTTGTACAGAATGATGTCCTAATTCTGTCATTTCTAACTTTGTTTTTATATGGAAATTACAAAGGGACATTAAATTTTGGGTTACAGGGGAGCTAATCCAAAACCACTAAGGGTTTGTGTTTCTGAATTCAAGCAGTTTTGGAACAGCCACAATATCAGTATGAACAGCATTACATAAAATAAAAATGGGGGCAAACCATATTTTACTTCCCTTTTTCCTACCTTTCCCTTCTGTGTCAGCAGTACTTTGATCATCATCCCACCCAGAACAAAATAACCACCTCTCTAAACTAAGGCACACGTACTGAGATTTTTTTGGACACGAGCATCCCCCTCTTTTCTCTCAGCAGAAGAGCCCTACAGGACACGCCTACCTTGCAAACTTTTCCTTATCACCAGTGATTTGATCACCATCATACCTAGAAACAAAAGATAGTACATCAATCAACAGGGGTTATGCATTGCATGATAGCCTACACACAGCAGAAAGCAAAAAAAATTCACAATTGCAAACCATTACAGATAACAGCAAGGAAAACAAGGGAATGAGAATGATACAGCAAAGAAAACAGCCTGATCCAAGCCATGCCAATCCAGAAACTTCATTTGTATATTTAAAAAAAGAGAAGACACATTTAAGTGGATTTAAGCAAACACTTTGACATACACTGATTTCTTGGGAAACTTAACAAGCAGCACCAGTACAGAAAACACCAGTGAGCTTTTATCCACAGCAGGGCATGAAATATTCATTGCTGTGCTGGAAGTGAAGGGGCTGTATCTGTTCCAGCTTGCAACCACAGCTCCCTCCATTCAGCAGAGGGCACTGATGGTCTACAGATAACACGGGAGGGCAGAGACAGGGCTGAAGGGTGATGCCTTATGTAAAGGAGCCTTCAGGAAAAAGCCCTGCAGGTACAGGCACTGCACTGACTGCGAGGAGCCTCGCAAAAGGCAGGAAGGTGAAACTGCTGGGTAAATAGAAGTGAAATTTAAACTGGCTCAATTCCCTAGAAGTAAACAGGTACCTCATTCCTACTCAAATCAACAGAAGTTGGATGCCCAGCCAGGGATGTGTGGTGTTTGAGCAGCACCTTTGTGGAGGAAATCCAGACCAATGGGACTTTTGTCCTGTGGGACTAAAGCTTCACTGTTTCTGAAGCATTGTCCCAAAGACAGGCAGCAATGTGACATTTCAGTAAAAAATGACATGCTGCTCCTCTTTCTCTTTCCTAAAAAATACACTAATCATTTTAAATTGGATTTTGGTAGCATAAACTCATTCAATTGAAATGAAACTGCTAGTTCCAAAACAAAAAAGGTATGTTTTGGAAAACCCAAAAATAAGGTAATAGCTTTTCTAGAACTGAAGACTGTAACTGCTCAAGAACAGTTTAATGAGGTTTGGTATTAAAATTACACCTTTCCAAAAGGATGTAATTTATTACAACAGACAGGTCCCATGTATTAGCTAAAAATGTAATACAGCCTAAATAAGCATGTTTTTCTCCTCTTCTAACAAATCAATAATGAACTTTTTCATTTTTCTGTCTGAAATGAATTAAAACAAATTGTAAGGAATCCACCTATGCAAGTTCCTCATTCAAACAGTAAAGACAAAGCTTAAGCAAGTCTTGAGCTGTACTTCTTTATGTTGTGTTCAACACCAGCACCCTCAGAATATTCAAGTGACAGTGCCACTTTATTCCCCTTGACTCTGCCCAGAGAACAGACTGAGACTGAGTAATTTTCAGCAAAAAACCAATTCCATGAGGAACAGGCATGTTACAGGGGAAGCACATGCACAGGCTGAGATTGAGGGGTCATGCAGGGATACCTGAGCTGAGATGGAAGCCCTGAGGAGCAGAATGTCACCTGCCATGTGTGCTAACACATTACTCTGTGCTCCCACCAGCCTGGGGCTTGGCTACTCATCCTCCTCTGCCTAACTGGGCTGAGGATGCCATTGCCTCCAGCTACTGCTTTTTCCCTCCCAGTCTCCCAGCTGACCTCTGCACACATGCTCCTCCAGGCACTTCAGTCAAAGCCAGCTGGGTTAGCTTCAACATTTAAACAGCAGCTCTTTGATAACTAAGTAATTTTGACCAAAACAAACTAAGAATAAGTCATGCAAGCAATCTGGAGAACAACTAGAAGAGGATGTCTGAAAGTAGCCCTAGGTGTCTCTGCATGGTTTTTCTCTACTCTCTAAAACCAGAACAATCTGGGGTCTATACAGCATTTAAGACTTAAATATCAGATTTTAATCTGACACCTAAAATCAACTGAGTCTAAGCACAGCACAGCATACTTCTCCATTAAAAGTGATGGAATTATTGGCTCAACCCAAATTTTGAAAGGCCAAAACCAGAATGGGGAAGGACCAACACATGTGTATCATGGTGCCCAGAAACCCCGATGCTTTTGCAGGCACAAATCAACTCCCATTCCTCACCAGTCTTGTTCCCTTAACACTCTCTTCTAGCTAATACTAGTACTAAGCCCTCAAATCACCAGTTTTAACACCAGAGACTGGTTCTGTAAAGGAAAACAAGCAAACAGGAGGGCTGCTGGTCTTGCCCAGTAAATTATGACATGGTGCCACAGTGTATCTTCAGCACACTTCTCTTTCTGACTGGAATAACCCTGTTGAAGTCTACAGAGACAGCTGTGCTTCAACATGGCTGCTGCTACAGAGCTGCAATTACAATGTGGATAATCAGCAGTTACCCAAAGTATCTACACCCCTCTCTGCAGCTGCTTGGTTTCTAATGAAAAAATGCAGTGTGACTAGGAAAAATAAAGGAAAAATGAAAAAATAGCAATGAGGGTTTACTGTTTATTTCTAGCCTTGAATACTCCATGTTAATTAACATTTGTTTGGTCAATTTTTACTATTCAGTTACACCTAATGGTACACAATGTAAAACTCATTGACTTTAAAAAACAATCCATCTCTAGAATCTGCCAAATTGGCTTAAAAAGCAATTTACATCTGAAATAAATCAGAAATGAAATTTCATTTTCAGTGGCCAAAAGACAACTTCAGCCATGTCAAACAACTTAAGTCCATCTACAGCAGTTGAAATACTAAGCTAAAAATCACAAGTTTTCTCATTTGATTTAGATGCTGAGTGAAATTGTGACACACAATCAGCTTTACAAGCCAATAACTACATTAGGCAGGTTTCTCCCAGAATGCCTAAATTTCAGAGGGAGCTGAAAAAACGAGTAACTGATATTTGGGCTGAGTTGTTGGCAAGTTCTTCACCCATACTTATATTGATTTTCAAACATCAGTAATGAGACAGCTATCTTTCCCCACTGAAAGAAGTCAGTGACTTGCCCAACTCTTTTGTAAATGCTCACCTTGAAAATTTGCTGGGCCCCTCCCCATCTTCATCATCAAAGTCCATTCTGTAAAAGCAAGATTTCCAAATCAGCAATCAAGGCTTGGCAAAGGTGGCATGAACATTCAGGCCAGCTGCTCTCAGTGCTGTTAGTTTTGTGTTTTGCCTAGAGGTGTAAAGGACTGAGGATTCCAGTCCTGCTCATCCCCTCCAGACCCAGGAGCAGCTCATCAGCTGATTTATGCCCCAGACCTCAGGGCTGTGGAAGAGCTGAGTTCTTCCTCGGGCCAAATCCCAGCCCACCAGTTTGGCTCCTCCAGGGAGCCACAAAAAGCAGGAACCTCTTTCTTCACTTCTTACACAGACCATTAAGATTATCTTCCTAATTTAGACACCTAAATTAGATTCTGATTAGGCAGTGTGATTGCATCATAGATGTTATCATCACAAACTTATACAATAGTATAATTTACAAAGCATTTTAGAATTTTTATACCTCTAAAAAGAGGTGGATAAATATTTATATCTCCAAATAAAACTCTGCCACTAGACAGTCAAGATGATATAAAACTACCATATACAATTATTGTATTAATGTATTTATTTTAATAAAAAAGTACATTAGTATGACATACAAACCTTGATCAATCACTTTTAATTTGTGTAGATAGGGAATTATAGTTTTTTACAAACATTTTCTCAGATTTCTTCAACACTCTAAGCTTTTCAACCTTTCAGCATAGTAAAACTGCATACAACTACAGATTCCATGTGTCTAACACTTCATATTAACAGGTATAAGTCCTATTAAGGGCAAAACTCTTCAAAGTGACAATGATATTTATTTCAGTATTAATTTGTCATTCCTACCAATGACAAACTGAGATTTGTATGCCCACAGTGTGAGAACAAAGATGTAAAACCAATCTCTAAAACTACATCAGCATAGAGAAGTAGAAGTGCCAGTCAGGCACTGCCTTCCTAAATTGTTCTAAATTCTTCCTTCTTAAATTCTAACAACCAAGACAGGCTGGCCCATGTGTCTGAGTCACAGCAACCTCCGTGCAATTGGAATGAGGGCAGCAAGTCAGCACAGGAATTGGACATGGCTCGAGAAAACTTACAATAATATTTTCCAGATGGTAACGCTGATTATTCATTTCTGGAGGAAGCAAAGAGAAAACCATTTTCCCCAAAGAGCTTTAAGAAAAGCTGCGTATTTAACTTGCCCAGCTTTGATGCAATCGTCGTTTTCGCTATAAATTACATCTTTGCTCACCTAATTACCACCAAATCCGGTTCCAAGGTCCGTGATCCCACAGCTCCTCATGCAGAACACCACCGACCCCCAGTGGCCACGGGGCTGCAGCTAAGGCACGACCCCAGATGTGGCTCTCAGGGCTGCCACCAGCAGCCTGAATCCCCCTTGGTTCACTTGCAGCACTCCCAGAAATTTAACATTTACACATGGTACAGCCCAGGGTCTCCTCTCACCTTCCTGCTTCCTCCCCATACGCAGTAATGTGACATTCCAGAAAAACCTTCCCATTTATATGAATTGGAATGTTTCTACCTGCACTGAAAATGCAGAAATCAATGTTAATGTTCATTTACAAGTGGAGGGCAGCACTGGGATAGCTCCACCTGAAGCCACCCACAAAAGCATCACATCAGGCACACCCTCATTTGGTTTCTCTGGCAGCTGAAACACACATGAGAGAAACACAGTTTCAAACTGGGGAGAAAGGGCTGCAGATAGAATTATACACCTGTGGGGGAAAGCCTTTTCTTCAGGGACTTTATGAGACTCTGCTTTAATCTGGGACAGATTAATTTTGATACTCTTTTCCTTCCTCTCCAGTACACTGAGATCACATACCTTGGTGGATAAGATTCCCTGATTTATTTAGCTTCCAGCAAAATACTCCAGCTGAGTGCTAAGGGATGGGTTTTACCCAAAATCAAATATTAGCTGTACTGCATTTAATCTAGTTTATTATTACTGGAATACAATGCAGAGAATTAAGAGATGATGATAACAGTTTAAGGCTTGATCCTGCTGCCTGCACTGTATCACCACCTCAGGGTGTGAGGGTGACTAACACACCTATTTATTTACATGGTTGGATATCAGCTTCTTCCTTAAGGAAATTCTTGATGGGTTAATATCCTCAGGTAACACCTCCCACATTTACAGTGGGCTTATCACAGCAGAATCTGAATGCATAGGGTATATTATCAGTCTGCACCAGACTAAGTCTTTAAATAATGCCTTTGCTTTGTTAAACTACCCAAACTCCTTTATTTCATACAGAAATTGAACATAAATTTAATTTAAAATATCAATACTTAAAAAAAATCCAACAGCAAATGCATCTCTGTTCCATCTTTGTTAATAACACATTTCCTAATTTCACTGTGCAAAATGTAAAACCCTTTGAAACATTAAAAAGAAGCTCCCTCAAATATAAAGTCATTGATTCCAGTGTCCTGCCTGATCCATTGTGTCTGCTTTACAGCAAGGCAGAAGGAAAGGCAGTGAATCAGTTGTAACCTTTAATAGAACACAGCAGAACATGTAAAAATAATATTCCATCAACCTCCTCATACCCTGACAGATAAGATCTTCTGTTTAGATAGAATATACTGCACATTAGCAAAACAGTAGAGGCAGCCTCCCAGAAGACAAATGACATCATTTCAGAAGATTCAGAAAGACTATCTTTTATCTTCATTTAAAATTCCCATTAAAAAAAGGCTTTATAAAGAGCTGAACTATGCTCTTTTGTTTTGAAGAGACAGCATAAATCTTGTTTTCCTTTTTCATAGTGTTCACATCAGTCGTGAAAAGGCCTGATGCATGACGTACTTATTAAAATGCATTTTCCTTAGAAGATGTGTGGCTACCATAAATACAGTAATAAAAATACTTCTATAAAATTAATTTTTCTTAATTAGAAACATTTTCTTAAAAAAAAAACAACAAACCAAAATGCCTCCAACAAGGTGGATCTGCACATATTAAAACATTGACATGTGAGAGGATTTCAACACTGCAACAAAATTACTATGTAAAATTCCCAAGAAATGTCAAAAGCTGCTTGCCATGATTACACAGTGTATGAAGAGAGCAGGCAGGAATGGTCAGGAGCAAATGCAGCTGAGAAGCAGATGGGGATCTGTATTACAGCCTTTTATTGAGCACAAGATTGAGGGGTAGAATGGTGGAGTGAGGTCTCTTTTCCCCAGATTTTGCTAGTTCTGGTTCAGAGAAAAGGCAAGACTACACCATCAACCAAAACAAAACCAATGCATCTGAAACCAATTCATCCAAAAAACCCCAACCCTCCCTGCCCAAGTACAGACAGCCCAGGAAGGTGAAAAAAGCCCCTATCCTCTAATACAGCAAAGCCTGCATTAAAACCACATTAAATAAAGAACTGAGGGTGCATTAATCCAAGGTAGTCATTGACCACTGCAGTGCATTATGCTGTCACTTTTTTCATGAAGTAGTTGGTATATTTTATAGAAAGGAAAAAAATATTTTTCCAAGCTGTCAATGAAGCCAAATGCCGACACGGCAGAAACACCTTCTGGACAGCCAATGAGTTTAAACTGATCTATATTCAAGTCCACACAGCAATTATTCTGCCAGCTTGCCTCAGCAATTATGAAAGAAGAAACAATTTTCAGAGATAACCAAAACTGGGAAAGCTGGCTGTGTATGCTAGCTCCACTCCTTTATGTTTGACAGAGAACACTCCTAAAATGCCCAAGGATTGAAGTGTACAAAGATGTATCACCAGCAGTGAAAGGACCAAGTGTTAGTTGCAACTTTTGTTCAAAGAAAAGCTCAGAGGAATTAGACACAGCAGGCATTCTTTCCCTCAAGGTCTGAATAGACATAGGGCAAACATTAAAAAAATATAAAATAATAAAAAAAAGCACTCTCAGCTCAGGCTTGGAGAAAGGCAATTAGTTCAGAGCTGTAGTGCACAGATGAAATACCACGATCCAGGTATAAAAGTGAATCTATACTAATTTACTCACTGAATCAACATGTTAAAGACATTTAAAATAATTTGATTGTTACTCCACCCTCCCCTCACTTCACCTTCTTACAAACAAATGACAATATTTAAAATGCAACAGTTAAAGCATTTCAATTAATATCAAGTCAGTATTTAATATCACAATATTTCACAGTCAGCAGCATCAAATCTTGGCAACAGTAAATTGCAAACTGATATTCAGAGCTGACATGGTTTATGATCAAAAAAGAGATCAAATATCCTGCAACTCAAGTACAAAACCTTATCTATGTTAGGTAGCAATGAAAAGATGTTAACGCTTTGTCTTTTCTTTTGAGTGCAAGTTTAAAAAGGTTTTCTCATTCAGCAGCATGAAAATAAAATGTGATGCCTGTCAAAGACAGATTTTAGGAGTTTCTCAAACCAATTTCATACAGTTAGCTCAGCAGAGGAAGGGCGCTCAGTGGGGGGTGATATTCAAACTGTTCTGTCCAAAGGAACACCCTTCAGAACAACCTTCCAGCGTTCACATCACACCAACCTCGCTCCGCATTCGAGGCAAGGCCAACCTTCTCCCTGGTTAATTCACTCCAAGATTAAGGCATGGGTTTTCCCAGGATTGAGACTCCAGTGCTGCTACTGGAGCAGACACACAAAGCTGGCAACATACCTCGGTGAACAATCCCTAGAGCAGCTCTTGCCAGGAATAATGTCCTCCTTAGCTGCTCGCCAGTGAAGATTCCACTCACTGCTGATCCTCTTAAGCCCCACCACTGTCTGATTTAGGACTAAATATAAGACCAAGCAATCTCTTTTAAAGAGACTCTCAGATCAGTCATGTCTGAGAAAGCACCATCCAAAGACCATTACTATTTGTGATCAACCTTTGATAAAAACAGGAGGGAGTTGGTAACACTAGAGAGTAGTTTTCTGTTCTTCTCAAGCTCTTGCTACACTTTTCTTCTAACACAGAGAATTACTGTGAGTTGCCACAGAGCAATCTGATGTGGGCAACTACCCCTACACCACATCAGTCTCTGACACCACACACAACAATTTTCCTCTTTAGCAGAGCCCTCAAGCTTGTGTAAGGGCTGAATTTGATTCAGTCCCTCCTCCCAGCAGAAGTCTGTGCTGCTTCCAGTGAGACCTAGAGTATCATGGTCCACAACTTCTGAAGAGTGAGCTCTCATGGTATTTCTGTACCTGGAACTATAAAGAAAACATCTTTAACAGGCCTCTCTTTAAGAGATTTGAAGTGTAACCTTCAGATGAAATTGAGTAGGTCCTCATGTGCAATCTTGCCACCTTTTTTCATTTGATAAATCATTGTGAGATTAAAGACACAGGCAATATGCATTCATTGTATCTACAACAGCCACAGGATCCAAACTCCTTTCTGGATGCTTTGCCAAACCTGAAAATCTTTTGAAACAAGCAAAACAACAAGCCATATGCTCATCAGCAAGTTTGATCTTGCAGGAAGAACAGATGCATTGAAGAGAAAAACAAAACATCAGTGACTAATGTCATAATGCAGTTTATGTAAATATAAAATTACATAATAAACACACACATATATACAGGTGCATTTTAAGTTTTCCAAGACAAGTAATTTCCAGTTTCAGACATGAAGAAAAAGGAGATGGCTTACCCAGAGCGACGCTTTCCGCCTCTGGAAGGCATGGATCCTGCCATCCTCACTTGTCCACTCGCCATCGGAGCCACCGGCAAGGCCACCGAGCCAGGAATGTCTGATGCCATTTCTGAAAGGCAGAGGGAGGGAAAGAGGTGGGGGAAATCCCTTAATCCATTACCTTCAACAAGAAACCTCTGCTGATAACCTTAGAGACAGGCCCTTCCCAAAACAAAGAGAGAAAGTTTCCTTTTTATTTCTAAGGAAAAGTAAAGCTCTCCTACTAAAACCCAACAGAGTCACTGATTCTTCAGAAAAAGCCCAGATCAACAGACATTATGGTGCCTGGGAGACAGAGAAAATTGCAGGCAGGTATCTCTGTAATTCCACTGACCTAATGGTTCTCATTTTAAGTCTCAAAGAGGCTGTCAGATGAAGGCCAACAACCTTCTACAAGAGTTAAAGTGCCTTGTACAGAAATGCAGAGCTGAACCCCAAGGCAAATGAAACTGTGGATTACAGTATCAGGCAAAATAATTGAAAAACTCAGTTTGGCAGAGAGGCCAAGAGTTGAGAGCAGAGATGAATTATCAGGTGATACTGGTTTTTATTATTTATATTCTGGAGGCATTCAGAGGGCCAAACTGAACTTGAAAGAGCTCAAAGGCTTCCTGCATTTCTGTCTGGTGTCTTGCAGAGCAGAACTGAGCCCGAAATTCAGGCTGATATTTATCCCTCTGCCAGGGCTTGAGGTATAGCCACAGGTTTAATAAACCTCAAAACTCTGATGTGAGAAACTGCAAAAGCTCACCTTATACAATGTTTTTTAGACAGCTAATGGCAAGTACTTCTGAAGTCTATTAATAACAGTTCATTACACTTCAAAAAAGAAAAGTGGAATATAACATATTTATACCCTTTTCTTCAATCCCGTTATTAAGCATGGGATTAAAAATGTTTTTCCTCCATATAACTCTTATAAACTATATGAGCAATTAAAACTTTTTTCTAATGCACATATACTTTATTCACTCTGGAGGAAAAATCTACAGTCAAAACATTTAATTATCTTGAAAGAAAATGCATCTTCCTTCCAACTTAAAAAAAAAAAAAAACAACTTGGCAAGGTATCTGGAGCTACAGCTAAATATAATTACTAATGGAAAGCAAATCTGTTTAAAAAATCCTGCTATTTTTTCCCTAACAGATAAGTATGAAATAACTTCAATTATGGAAACAGGAATCCATGTTCTTTCATTATGTCTGGAGAGCACTTCCATCTCTGCCACACTTTATACACATCCATTATGCAACATTATGCATTTCAAATAATAACACTTTATCTGTTCACTGATTTCATGGATTTCTTCTAGTACATTTAGTTTTATTAACTCCTTTTCAACAAAAAAAGCAACAGAGCAATCCAATATTTTTTAACAAAGTCTGCAAGGCCAAACAATGAGACTGCTGCCTATGTCCCCACACCACAGAAAGTGGCTAAAGATGCAGCTATGTGGAAACACAACATTAAAGCACATTAGCATATCTCCAGACAAATAAAAGCGTCAGCATGCAAACAACTGGTAAATCACTATTTCCAGAATAAGTTCCCTTAGCTGTCTAATGCCCATAATTCACTCAGAACATTCAAACTCATCTCTCATGGGTAGAACCGAAGGTCATTCTGAAATGCTCAGCTCACTCATTTATTAAAGCAGATGGTAAAAACCATAATAAATCTACCTGCAAAGTGTCCCTGTCACTCAGAAACGTTTTCATATAGATCATCAAGGAGATCAGATTTTTTTAAATTAGTAACTGTAAGACAATTTCAGATCATCTCTGAGCAATATTTTAAGAATAAGAAAAACAATGTACTGTGATGAGAAACTTTTGTAACCTCATTTTCCTCAATCTAAACCAAAGATGATGAAAAAACACACCCGGAGTTGCATCCAAAAGCCAAAATTGTTAAGGTAACTTTATAGCTCACCAAAAAAAGGAAACAAATCCCCCTTGCTCTCCTTTATGCATTCCATGCTTAGAGGTGCACCCAAAAACAGGTTGAGCAAACCATTCTGTAGAGCTCTTGCTCTCACCCCCTGACAAGTCATGGAGATCTAGGCAGACAGTTTTGATCATTGTCCAATTTAAGTGGTTGTGGATAGGCAGAATGAGTTGGTTTTCTGCATGTATTTTCAGCCTTACATGTATGAAAATGTAAGAAGCAAGGGTAGCTATCAAGATTCAAGTAGGAAGAGAAACAGAACTGTGTATTTTTTATAAAAAGAGAAAAAAAGGTAAAAGGAATGGCCAAAGCAGAGGTTCAGTTATGTCAGTGTCCAAAAACACATAAAAAAAAAAATTTACAAAAAACAGATCATGTGCCTATATAAGCTAAAGAATTACTTTGTAGGTATCTTGATTCTACAGAAGTGCACAAAGACAGTGCAATACAGAAAGTAACTTCTTAGACAAGTCAGCCTTCATATAAGTCTTCACTGTCTTAGGAGAAGGAAACCAAGCTCATTGTGCTTACTGGTCCAGAAGGAGATCTTCAAAAACTTACATTTCCAAGATATGAGCACAAGAGGAAAAAAAAATTAATTGGGGATGCACTGACACCCATCCACATGAAAGCTCAGCTAAGAGGGAGGAAAGGCTCAGACTTTCAAATCACAAGACTTTCCATTCTGCAGCATTGTGGTGCAGCTGTGACAGATCTGTACATGTATCAGTGTGTAAGACACCCAATTTACCTTTCCATTTCAGAGCTTCCCATGCCAGAGACATCACCCACAGTGTGAGGTGAGCTCTCATGAGGTGCTCGAGGTGCACATACACTGCTGAGAAAAGCAGTCAGCTTTCCAGGCTCTCTCTCCTGAAACAACAGAATTAAAGTTCTGCTGATGGAGAAAGCTTTGGTCTCCTTCAAGCCACACAGCAAAGAGAGCAACTCCAAGGGAAGAGCTCCATGGAGGATGGAACACCATGAACCTGAGCCAGGCAGGGCAGCAGTGGAGCTCCTCACACAGCACCCTGGTGCTCCAACACCTGAGCACTACAGGAGGACTCCAGGGACAGAGATGACAAAGTGACCTCAGTGCTCAGCTGCAGCCAGCTGGGTGTCAGGAGCTCTATCCAAGTTGGATAGCTGTGCAGAAATGTCAACAATAGATCGTGGCTGTAAGAACTTGGAAGAGCTGAAGGCCACAAGAACATCTTGATGGAAGAAGGAATGCATCTGAACTGCTTCCCAAATTACTTTCACCTCTACTCATTCATGAGAATATAAAAAAGAAGAAGATCTTGATTATATTTTTACATTTATAAAATATGCCTGGTGAGGAAAGTAAAAACATTTTGACATGTTATCTCAAAAACAAGGGCCAACCTGGGAAAGCAAAGCCAAAAGCAAAATCTGATGGAACAATCAGGTGCTTCTCTGACCAAACATGTGTGAAATTACCTGTCTATGTATGCTCTGGAAAGAAAACAAGAAAGAGAAGAAAAAATGGCACTCAAACTGGAGTCTCAGCTAGAAATACTGTGGTAGAGAAGCATCCCAAGGAGCCTATTAGCATAAACAGAACAAAAAACCCAGGAGAATGCATCAGACACAGACCAAAAGAAAAAATAACATAAGAAAGTCTTAAGAATAGCTCACAATTCTGAAGAGCTACATAAATTTCGGGCAGTCCCAGTCACCCTGCTGGAGCATAAATTAGCGTGGAAGCCCAGACCTGCAGCACCAAGTTGGTTACAGATATGTTTAAAAAACAACAACAAAAAAGACATGCTGAGTCAACAATCATAAAGATCATGTTTTTAGGCTTATCTAAACCCATGTCCAGATACACATTAACACTGATGCTCAGAGAAGTGTTTCATCAGCAAGAAGTGTTGGGAAACATGGTGTTCTCTTTCTGAGATTGAATGTTCAAAGAGTGGACTTCCCTTCTGCCAATGGAAATAAACAAGCATTGCTTACTCTACCCAAAATTAAAGCACAAATGTAAGGGTACAATTCTCAGGAAGTGAAACAAGGTCAAGCTGAACAATCATGAAAATCATCTGTAATCATCAAGGCAGAGTTCTGAACAAAATTCTTTATAATCTTTGAAAGTGTTAGTGTTTCTTAATGTCAAATAGAAATAATTTTATTTTTGCTGAGAAAATGTGTGTGGTATTTCATTTGGAGGTTAGAGAGCTCCTACAGATCTGCCAAAGAACACAGAAATGTTATTAGAACAAAACCCAGTGCAACACTCACAATCTTTAGAGAACATTCCTCCAGCTGGACAACACTTTACAGATCTTGTCTTATCACTCTCATGTCTGGGAGCAGGCCAGGTTCTGCCACTAATATTGATGTTCATTTTGGGGATCCCTGAGGAGCCACATTAATTCAGGAACAATGTAAAAGCAGAATTAGTCCTTCCATTTCTGTCCAGACTTTACTGCTGAACATTCAAAGTTTGGATATTATACTTTACTTCAGTGCCACATTTAGGTCGACCCCAAAATATTCACGGATGTTTCTGAAATAAAAGATAATCTACAAATGCATATTAAAATACTGGGATAAAATACAGGAATTTATTCCCCCAAAATCTGCATTCGTCTCAAGCTGCTCACAGATCTGCAAAAAAACAGCTGCTGTGCACTTCAAAAAGCAAAGCACAAAGAACAAGATAACTGCTGCACAAGGATACCACGAAAGCGCATGAGAACCCCAATAAGAGCAAGAATTACTGAAAAGTGCAGCATGCCAGGATGAACCTGGACTTCTCTTTTTTACTAGGGAATTATTAAACCACAGCTCTCAAGCCCAAACTTTAAATCTTGAGCCCCACCCCAGATCCAGTGCCTGAAATGCAGCTCTGTCTTGTCCCTGACACAGATTTGTGACTTGCTGAGGTATCTCCCAGAGAAGGGCAGCTCTTTGACCAGGTGTCCTCACAGGGAGCATCACACAGCCCTGGAGATGGTGGCCCCTGCCCTGCTCCTCTCCACAAACCACAGCCATGCATCCTGCTGGGGAGCTTTAAAGTGCTGTGCATGACAAGACTTTCTAAGTCTATCTCACAAAAAGTCCTGTTAATTACAATATTTTCAGCCACCCGCACTATACTCCCCTTGCCTAAATACAGCAGACATGGACAGGGCCAGGTTTAAACCCAAAGTCTACTGGAGAAATGTTTTTGCTGACTCCCAGAGACTTTGAATCCCTGACATGAGCTGCAAGGAGCAGTTCCAGGTTTGCTATTCCATGCCAGGTACCACTGAGCATGCTCTCCACAGGGCTCCTTTATCCTTCAGTGTCTACTGTAATAAACACAACTAAAATCAGATACCAGCACCTGACTAAACAAAAGGAAATTCTACTTTTATCAATACAAATGCGACAGATTTCCAGCCACTAATCCATAGAATGGCTGAGATGTCAATCACTCCAAGTAAATGTGGATCTAAGGCTAAACACAGAATTACGAACGCACCCAATCCCATCAACAGCATCGTACACAGTGATTTCAAAATGGTCTTTTAAATATTCTAAGAAAGTAGATTTTAAAAACTTTAGAAACTGTATTTTTCATTACCCTGAAGTCATACGGGAGTTAGATGCATCTCAGCTAAATGGTTTTGATTGCAGTCAATTGCAAGGGGGATTTTCTGCCTAGCACAGAGACATTTAAGAATAAACTATATCACAGCTCTTACTTTAGAATATGCCAACAAAAACACGAAGCCATCATATAGTCAAAAATATTTCACAGAAACACTAATGCTAAAAATCTAGCTGTATATTTAGTCATTGCTTTTACATATTAACTACAGAGATTATAAAACAGAGCTCACTCTCAAAGAATATTAAAAAAAAAAACGTTTTCATTGTTCCTGATAACTCTGTTAATACTGTTTTATTTGCATTCCATTGCCAGACACTTTAAATAGACTGCACATGAAAACATTACTGTACAGAGAGGATATGCAGAAAAGCAAAAACATTCCTTGCCATGCTCTCGACAGAATTACAATTACAAATAAATCACAAAATATAAGAAATCCCACCTTCAAGGAAGACTCTTACAAAAGATGCAATTTCTTTCCTGTGAACAAAACCTTCTTGGAGAGAAATTTTATCCGCATATAAGAAGAGTCAGAAACCTCTGGGAAGAAATGTAGCAGCATTGGTATTCTGCTCAGAAAATGTCATCACAGATCTGTTTACCTTAACTGTGGACCATGATTCAGCCGGTGACAACCGTCTTGCATACTGATCAATTTATTTGCAGCAAAATTACCAACATTTTCTACTTTAACCATTTAGGTTCTGGAAAGAGCTACTAAGGCAGAAATAATATAAAAATCCTAATTAACTAAAAACTTTCCCCTCCACCACAATGCCCTGTGCTTTGGGGTGTGAGGGGGGCCCACCCCTAATCCTGAAGATAAATTAGGGCATATGGAGAGCAGTTACTAGAGAAACGTTCTCTTTTTCAAAATGAAGATCAGAGCTTTATTCTCTGCCTGCATCCCAGGTGAATGTTAAGCACACTCGAAGGGGGGGAGATTATGAGATTGAGCTGCTCAGGTGAAGGGGCACTGCTCAGCAGAGACTGGGAGCAAGCATTTAAGAGAGTGTCCTAACTGCTGCTCCAGAGGCCAAATGCACTTACCTCCTCCCTGCCTGCTCTGCTGTGACTGCAGGAGATGCAGGGGCAGTGACACACTTAAGAGGAATCTGCCATATGCCCCACCAGTAGACTGGAAAAGCAAGTTTTGAAGTCAAAGAGGTGAAACCCCCAATGGCACCTCCACATTTGACAGCTGTGTTCACACAAGCCATCCATGTGGGATGTCCTGGGATCTCACTGACATCCATGCCCTTTCGTGTGCCCCACAGCTCAACACCACCACCTGGATGTACAAAAGAAGGGGGGATACAGACAAAGAATTGGAAGTAAACTGTGACAAAAGAGACTTTTGGTCTACTTCAGTGGAATTTGTGCAGGTTGAGGGACAATGTGAGACCAATCACTGCAGGATGAGCAGCCAACACTCAAAACCAGGATCCTCTGAAGTATCCAAAATGAGATATGCCATGCAGAAACCACAGTACCTAAAAACCCCACTGTGGAAACATCAATCTTAGAATCTGTAAAACCAAAATATTATTTCATACATTGCTAGCTGATTTTGAATAACACTTCTTATTTTAGTTTGATAGCACTTCTTATTTTACTTTCCAATGTTCATGTTAATCACCTTATTCATTCCACTCATGTTGGCAATGTCATTAATCCAAACCTACCTTGTGGTCAAGGCACAAAAATTTCCAGAGACAAGATGGAGTAAGGAAAGGATGTGGACCACATTCATATTCACTGCCTAAATGACCAACACAACCCATATAATTGAATAAACTCAGAATCAATTAGCACTACCCAGAAGAAGACAGGAGTCACACCTCTGCACCCACTGCAGAGAATGTTATAGACTAAAATTGAACTTGAAGCAACAGACAGAAGATGCACTTGGCTACTTAAAGTTAGCCTGGGAAGAAGGGAAAAGGTAGCTGCTTCTTCATTTCTCCTATCTTCCTGACAAATGACATTGCACCTTAAGCCCCTGCACTTCCCCCTGGCTATTTTTCCACTTCTTATTAATAATTCCTTGTTATCTCTTCTTGACCTATTCAGCCTCTGACTGAGGTGAACTATTTCTTGTACTCTCTTTAATAAGCCAGTGCATCCAACTGCTGACGAGTCTTGCCAAACTACGACCATTTCCCTCAAAAGAAGCTGCTGAAATTCAGAACAGGGAGCAAAGGTTAAAAAAGAAGCCTTAATGGCTCCTGCTCTGAAAGCATGTCTCTAGTTTTGGAAAAACAATAAACCCTCTCAGAATTAAAACAAGGCTTGTGTCTGCACTGCAGAATGAACGTGAAAACTGACCTGAACCTAAGCACCTGGCCTGCCACTAAAATTTGATAATCCTTCCCCTTGCAGAAGTGGGGGGCTTTAACTCAAGCAGAAGAGCACCCAGGTGTCCACCATGATTATGATGGACTGACACACTAGAAGAAAAGTATTTCTTGCATCCAAAGTCTGGAAGTGCATGAAGGAATGAGTCAGAAGCAAATCCAAGGACCTGGGGTAGACTCACACTGATAACACAACCTGAGCTTCCAACACTTGGCAAACATCTCAGACATAAATAGTTACATGCAAATTGGGCAGGGAAGTAGGGCAGCCACTGTAAACCCAGTTTACAGAGAGGATGAAAATCTGACTTGGAAAGGCTGCTTCAGGATAGATGCAAACATCATTAAAAGAGAGGCAGGTGCTTAGCTTACATGAAGGGTCACAGTAGAACAGCAGACAACAGCAGCAGGACCATTTAAGTTGTTTGAATGTGACCCTACCTGGTTTTCAGCAACTACAGACATGATAATGCAATCATACAACATAATTCCACACTTAATTGTCTCTGCATTAACGTGCCCTGGTTTTATTGATGTTATTTTGGCTGACATTACTGACACATGGCAAAAGTGCCAAGCAAATCACCAAAAAACAAGGCTCCCCAAACTATGCATCATTTCCATTTGAAATGAATGGTGATTCTTCCTCCTTCTTTGACATTTTGTATTTGCCAAAAGCAACTGCATAATTATAAGTTATGTGCAAGAAACAGAAGGTAACATTCAATGTTATTTTCCATACTTTTTACTGAGCATCAGACCTAGCAAACAGCATATATGGCTGTTCTGTTATGTACAACTGCCCACAGCTGACCCATTAATGAACTCACAAAAACTGTGCAAGCACACACCCAGCCTGGGCAAACAAACACGAGGCAAAAATAATAAACTCTAAGGACTTTCTTTTAAGTTTCTCAGACACAGATCATGCTCCGTCCATAAATTCTTCATTTAACGAGTCTGCTTCATTTATCTTGTTTTGGTTGGCACTTCAATTAGAAATTCATGTACAGGACAATTTTCCCCTTTTAAAAACAGAACAGTTGCTGTATTTCATGGAGTAAAACATCAGGAGGTAAAGTGGAAGCTGCAAGACCAGCTAAAGCTACACTAAAGCCAGGCACAATAATCCTAAATTAGGCAAAACACCTCCATGTAGCCCTGTCCACAGGATTATCACTAATTGTTAAAAGGGCCTGGTAAAATTTGTTGCTTAGTAAATAATCAGAGAACAAATTGAGAGTTACCCAATTGGCAAGTGCAAGTTAAAAACAAATAACCCATACAGCCATGCTCTCAGCTTTACTGTAATTTCAGTTATGAATGTGTTTTGTTGTATCTGCCTCTACATTCTTAAGATTTATTGAGATTGGACTTCTGTCTACACAGAAAGAAAAGCCCTCTCATCCAACCACTCCTCATCTCCTGCCTTGCACAGCATCCCATTTTTGCTGGCCGCTCTCATGACTATATATATATATATATATATATATATACACACATACATATATATACACTGACACAGAGATACAGATATAGGTGTATGTACACACATATATACGTATATTTGTACACACATACATATAAATACCAGAAGAGTTAAGCCTGGGGTCCTTCTCCCATTGCATTGCTTGTCCCCTCTTGGGTGTCACCCCAAGCCAGTGCACCCTCAAAGGCAATGTCAAAGTGTTTCAGCCACTGTCACACTACCCCACAACTACCCCCTTCTCATCTTTCTTACCTTCCCTCACCCTTAGCATTTTTGCCAAGCTTTCCTGAGCAATCACAGCTATCTCTGGATGCCCCAAACTCCCTACAATGAGCATCTATGGATGGCAAAAAATTATATAGGATTTATGTAGAGCCTATCCGAAACTGTGGAAAAGAAATTCACTGAGCTCTGTGAATCAAACATCACTGGCTGGCTGAAGGGTGGGATGGTACCCAGGGAAGCACCACACAAGCTTGCTCTGATTTTATACTCCTTCAAGCTTTTGGTCAGTGCTGGAAAAGATATGAAAAATTTTAGTTTCAGGACAAGACAGCATGTTTTTATACCAGGAGCAGCAGAAGTAGCATTCCTTAAGCATGTTTCTTCTACAAAGGTAAGAAAGATAGGAAATTAGCCAATTACTGCTATTACTTTATTTCATTAACAATAAAATCAAGCATTTTCCATTGTATGCCCTTGCTCTGGATCACTGATTATTAGTTTTATACCATCACTGCTAATTTTCTTTCCTAAACTCATCCTGTTTCCTTTCCCTGTTCTATAATCATTTAAAAAAAATTGCAAGCAAATTTCCTTTTATAAATACCTATGTAACTGTTTTATGATAAAGAAATAATAACAGTAGTAATTGCTCAACAGTTTATCTGCACTATGTAATCATTTGAGCCTTCATTTTTGTTCATTCATCTTCAAATTACTTATTTTAAAATAATATTTCCATGATCTTCTATCAAGTAGTCTGGCTTATTTTCTATCTAGCAAATATTTTCCAGCAATAGAAGCTGGTTTAGATTTCAAGAATTTTCAGTGCTTGATCACAAATCTATTTTGTTCGTGTACAAGTTCAACTGCCAATATGTGGAAATTATTTTGAAGCTTCTATTAAAATACTTGCAATGGTATACGTAAGAAAAAAACAGATCAATACCGTGGCTCTCTAGAGTTTACATCGTAACAAGATGACAGCACTCTAAACTCTTATCAAGTACATAAAACATAGTCAATAGCTGCATAAATGTAAGGAAATAAAGCTAATTGGTAATAAATCTGTCCAGAACATTCACCAAAATGGATTTTGACTAAATGCAGATCAGGGGCAGGCTAGCTTTCCCAGAAATCCAATGTCTTCTCTCAACTATTTCATTTTTTCCTCTAACCAGAAATGCACAGAATTCACATGAAAGCCATTGCCAACATCACTTGTCCATATTTTCTGTTAATTACAGAAGAAATCAGCTATCAGATTTCATGAGAGGCTGTATTTATGACTATAACTTTTGGTTCACATTCGAAGAAATGTAACAACATATTTCTTAAATAACGAGCAGAAACGTTCAAGCAAATTAAGAAATTCTTGCTCTCCTCTTACAACTCTTTCATGAAAATATTCTTTTAACTCATTTTCACTGAGCACTGCTCTAAGTTCACAGGTGCAAATAGTTACATAATTTATCCTAAAAGCAGAAATTTGAAAATGCACGGATCCAGACCAAAACAGAAGTGT